TTGTTAAATGAATAAATTAAATTACTTTAAAAGATTTCGAATAATTAGCTTACGAAATTATTACAAATTATTGTATTTGAATTGTGAGGCCCTGGAAGTAGCACCCCCGGAAAAAAATGAAATTGAAAATTTGTTAAGGTCGACAGTAAAGAAAACAAATTATATAAATGTCGAGTCAACGACACAGGACATTGACGTCAGTAGTAGTGGTTTAACACCTACTGATCACAAAATTCATTTCAGATGTTGAATAAATTAAAATTACAAATAATTTTTAAAATTAAATTAAGATTTGACAAATTTTTATTTGCAATGGAATTATTTCAGATCGCAAAATTAATTTTTCGATCAGAGATCTTAATTAAATTAATTTTATTTTAACAACTAGCTGCAAGGACCCGCTTCGCTGAGTTTTTATTTGTGGGCAAAAAGTAACGATAGTGAAGATTAAGATAATTACATTATAGCCAATCTTACCCGTTTTCACAGAATGCAAGAATTAGGTCCCCCGTTTCTGATTAGAAATCTGGTCCCGATTCTATTTCTGAACGTCTCCTGTTCACGTCAAGTCAAATGAACTATTTTCAACGTTTCTGGATCGTTTACAATCGTTCTATAATCGAACCAATATTCGAATTTTATGTTCGAATTCAAATTCGAATATTGTTCGAATTAAATTCGAACAAATTCGAACATAAAATTCGAAATAGAAAACCACTTTCAGCCCCATATCTCTCGCACCCTTATAGCTATCGAGACGCAACCCCATAGTGCACGAATGGAGATTTGGGGCTACTACCACATACAAACAGCATTCATGTGCGATGTGTAATTTTGGCTGAAAAGTGAAATATGGGGACACACACATCCATACATATATATATAGATATCGCAATACAATGAGTATAAAAAAGTATCATATATAACATATATTTACATAATGTGAAAAGTATTAATGAAGATATTGTTTTTAATTGTTTAGTTCCGTTGCATTTTTTCAGAAAGTGAAACAAGGAACTTCTGAATAAATCAAGCATACTGAAAGCTGCTTTAAGATTTGTTGGATGAAAATACTTTATAATAATCTTTCTTGTACATATAAATAGTTACTACTATTTATATGTACTTTCGTGTTTTGTATAACTGATGAGAAAAAGGTATACCGTAAATGAAGAATTACCCATCATTATACTTGTACTTGGAAAAAAGTACAAGTATAATGATGGTACAAGTATTCGTATTTGTAAAAGGCTAACCGAAAGATTTATTCAAAATACAATATCCCCACAGTAAATTTAGAGAAAAAACATTTTTATACAGTATTTAATTCACGTGTACACCCGTAATGTATAGTATATACAGTATTAGATTTAGCGTGATGAAAATATTGTTGTTGACAATATAGGTTGCATAACTTAACTACGATTCATACATATTGCAATTATTGTGGTATTTATCAACGATGTTTTATTTTTTAATATTTATCAGCTAAATATATTGCATATTATATTACCAGAGTGTCTCAATAAGCAACGCGTTTTATTTTTTTAAACGAATGTTTTAATGTGTACGCGAAAACGTAAATATAGTAAACGAAGTTTGAATTTTTGGCAACACTATTGCACGATAGGACTGTTTGTGTCGCTTGTCGGTCATTTCTGACAAATGGAAAAAAATAGCCTGCGCGCTATCATCGTCTATGCTCCAACAGCAGCGAAGTGCTGTTCGTTTTCTATGGGCAGGGGACAAGAGATGTAAAAAAATACATGTGGGAAGGCTGAAAGTGTACGGTGACGAAGACATGAACCATGCAAAGTCCATCGACATTGCGAAATGTTTAAAAATGATCGTATGTGTGTGATTGATGAGCACGGGTCAGGTCGTCCAGTAAACTTCGTTTCAAACAATCGCTTCGGTATTTCAAATGATTTAAAGCAACCGTCGCGTTCGCTTGAAGAAGCTGTCGAGTAAAATCACTTGGAAAAAGGTTCCATTTCCGACGAGGTGAAATCGGCTGTATGCAGGCAGTTGTATGGCCAGTAATCAGCGTTGTTCAATGCACGTATCTTTAAGCAGTACACTGCTAGAACAATTGCTTGAATCCGAATTGTTTCTTAGTCAAGAAGTAGCCTAATTTACATATTTAATTTCCTATATTCAGCATTTTCCATATGCATTAAAACTTTTGATTAAAAACTCGGTCCTTAAGGCCACTTTTGAAAATTTTTTATTTTTTTGATTTTTGGAATGTTTTTTAAGTCTCTAAATTTTTTTAAAAATTTTTACCCGCGCAAAAAATTTTATCGCGATTTTAATCAACCTTTAATAACTCGCGATTAACGCTTAATTGTTTTTTAATGGGATTTTTTAATCGAATTTAATTAATCGTTCTAAAGTTGTAGTGCACGGATTTGACTTCGGTAAAGGTATTTAAAGCTACTTTCTTATGTCAAAAACGACCTCCAATAGTTTTTTAAATTTTTAAATTAATATATTTTATTATATATAAGTTTAATTAGGTCGGAGGGTCGGAAATAGCAATAAAAATTTTAATTTTTTAAGAATATTTAAAAATATGTCTAGCTAGTATTCACCCTACTTTAAACCTTTCTCCTCCCGGGACATCTATGAGAATGTCCCAGGAAATCCGACATTAGATGTTCTCAACGACATCCAGCTGTGTAAACAATGAGTCATCAGTGTCAAATTTTACAGAAAGGCAACACAAAAGAAGTTAAACTTTGAATTTTTTTCTTCAAAATTAACGCATTTCTTTCGTTTTTTTCAGCTTTAAGTATTTTTTATGCTTAATTACATTATAATTAATAACAGATGATCGTTAAGATTTAAAAAAGGAAATTTTTCGAAGTGTGAATACATAAGTGAATATCCATTTGAATTGTCTGACTGAATTTCAGAAATTTTTAGTGTACAATAAGATTGTTATCTTATTAATTACTACAAAAAATACATTAGTTTCTTTTTAATGTATTTTATATGTTATAAAATTTTAATGTATTTTATCTATATATATAAAAATGAATGTGTGTGTGTGTGTGTGAGTGTGTGTGTGTGTGTGTCTGTCCTTCATGCATTACCACACCGTTTATCCGATTGCCGTGAAACTTTGGAAAGTTGTTTAATATACTCCGGCGAAGGTTTGTGGCATAGTACGATTGCCATAAAACTTCGGAAAGTTTTTTAATACACTCCCGCGAAGGTTTTTGACATAGTACATTTATCCTACGATAGATGGCGCGCGTTTACACGAGCATTCGAGCACAGTGTGTCCGATCAATTTCAAATTGTGAAGACCATTTCCCCCTTCAAAAAATATCTTTATATATGCATTTGTGAACTGTTATTTACGATATTCGTAATAATGTTTGTTTAATCACTTTATTTCAACTTTTTTTTGCTAATTAGGTATTCGCTCGAACTTTGTTACAACTTTAACTGTATACCGAACAACAACCGAAGTTGTAGAAGGAAATTCGCCTATTTTACCGATCTAGAAATCCTCTTTTTCAAATTTTAATGTCATCTAATAATTTAAAAAGACAAATTACAATAAAACGGTTTATTATCCAATTATCAGAAATTTCACAACATGGCAAGAAAGAGAGGAAGGAGCAATTAAATAATTAAAATTATAAAGGATTAAAAATATATATAAAAATGGGGAATATCGCACTTCTGACAATCGCAGCGAGTGTGTGGGCTAAATTTGGAGAATCCGTGCTTCTCGCATGGACAACTGTATGTGGCCGGCTCAGGCGTCGAAAAACCTTCCGATTTATTCGTGTACGCACCAGACGGAAAAACAAAAAATATCGTGTATCCACAAACACTCCAATAAATAAATAGAATTGAAACGACACTTTGAAATGTTTTCCCGATGAAAATTAATAATAATAATAAGTTTCAATAAAAATGATAAAATGCTAATTTAATTTTATCGTAACGAGTTTGCTTGAATTTCCTTTCTTCTGAGATTGCAGCAATGCGCGACAGTTAAGCTAGTATGTTATAAAATTTTAATGTATTTTATATTTTATAAACATTTCTTCAAATGTAATTGTATTAATTGTAATAAATTACTAATTTTTTAGAAATCGTACAAAAAAATACATCAACATTATTGTACCTCGTATTTTGGGAAGAAATGTAATGTCTATTAAAATATACGGTATACTATATGCTATTAGTATAAAAAAAAACAGAAAACATATATCTTAATATGGATTTTTTTTTACAGAATACAAAGAAATTATATTAGTTGATTGGGTAAAAATATTAAGTTTACCAATAGACAAAAATGGTATTTCATGTTTTAAAAACTATGTTATGTGGGATGTAATAAGTCAAAGAACTGACTTAACTTTTGATATAATTTCTGAATTTTCAAATAATTTAAACTGGGAATTAATATGGAAAAATTATATATTTTTAGTACATTCATCGAAAAACATATTGGACATTCAAAATGGAATTTAATTTCAGAATATCAAGTATTAGATAAAAAATTCGTAAGTCATTTTTCAAAATATCTCGATTAGAATAAAATAGTAAAATTTTAAATATTTCTAGATAAATTTGTTAAAAAGTTTATACGAAAAATTAGACATGAGTATAGTTTTGAAATAAGAATGAATGAAAATGACACTATAAATAAGCTAAGTTAGTATCTACATTAAGATTTAGTTTTCTGTTATTATATACTGAACGAAGATTTTATTCATGATTTCATAAACTACCTTTCTTCGAGTTAGGTCTTAAAATATCAGAAACTACATTAAAAATATATTTCGGATAATTTACTTAGTTTATTAGTCAATATATACTTTATTACATTTGTAACATTCTTCGTGATATGATAGAGAAATTAAAAATTAAAAGTACATTAATAAATGTGTGTCCTTATATAATGTAAAATTACTTATGTGAGCTTATAAAATAAACTATTCCCAAAGTGCATCGAATGATTACTACTAACGTTATTGCAATCCTGAAAATTTTTTATTTCTCTTCTTAAACAAAACGGGATACAATGTATTTCTATACCAGTTTTTAATAACACATCGATTGAATATTAAACACACGAAAGAAGATAATACAAATGCAGAAACATTTTGAATCATATAATTCTTTTAATTATTACCGTAAACTAAAGTTTTCAAGAATACATACTTACAATTGGAATTATATTCTTGACTAAGATTGGTCTGATTAAAGTAGTACACAAAATTTTTGTTTAATTATTTCAGTTAAATCTTTTTCTGTTGTTTAATACAATAAAATTTACTTCTTTCCTGAAATTAAACCATTGTAAACATTACTCATTAGGCCTATATTATCTCAAAAACTGCTGATGGCATCTCAATAAAAGATCAGCATGTATAAATTGAACCGTGAAACTTGCATATACAAACAAATGTTCAGATTTTAATAATTATATGTGTTATGTGATGTGCAGAAATACCACTCTAAAAACTAAATTAAATAAAAAATCCATAACACCAGATCCACATAGTCTATCCATATAACAAAATTCACTCTTTTATAGTTTTGTCTGCTCGACCCTCTCTTTTGCATAATATTTAACTTTGGCAATTTCGTATAATTCATTCATCGAAGTTACTCCCGTCTTCTGTACCAAATTATAAAATATGCCATTTACGTTCTTCAGTAATGCATACGGCGAGTCAAAGTCTTGTACTCTCCCTGTATCTAATACCTAGAAATTTAAAATGTCTAGTTACTAACGAGTATTTATTTTTATATTATTAAAAAAAGAATCTTACCAGAACTCTATCCGAATCGATAATTGTATGTAATCTGTGGGCTATTGTCAACACCGTACAAGATTTGAATTTTTCTCGAATTATTTTCTGTAGACAGGAATCGGTTCTTGATATAAAATAAATAAAAATAAATAATAAATAAAATAAATAAATCGGTTTTCCCATATTGAAATGTATCACAAACAATTCAAATTATAATAGCGAAAACCAGCAAGAAGTAAGTGAAAAAATACATTACTAAACCATATCAACATGTGAGGAAATTCAAGGATAGGAAAATTAAAACACACTGCCGACATTGGAAAACCTTTGGAAGAAACGTCAAATTTTGTCAGAGAGTGTGATTTTTTTCTCAGCTGGAAAACTATCGACAAAATAGCATCAAGTAGAAAGGTGCAACTTTAAGCCATGATAAGAAAATATATGTATTTGTAAAAGAGCGAATCTAGTTGATACCTCATCAGTCAATTAGTCGATAACGATGATTGTGTACTATCCTGCATCAAATGTTTTCCATTTCAAGACGAAGACAAACTGCAACAATTAAAATTCACACCAAATTACACATGTACAGTTAAGAAAATCATCCTGCATCTATATCCGATGGATAGGGTTCAATCATGTCTATGGTAGTGAATGTCAGTAAATCCAATATCAGAAAAGATTTCTTGACAAAGTATAAAGTCAAGTTTATTTTCATTTTAAGTAAGCTACTAATTGCAGTAAAGCAGCAATTATCTTATAATAATTACACTTGTTGCAGTTAAGATTAGTGTTGTTAACCATAATACAGTAATAAATGATATATGTTACTGATAAGTAATTTTACACTAAACAAAAGTTTTATGCCACATTAGTCTAATACAAACAAACTATACTTAGCGAACTTATTGTAGACAATTTCGTTTGAGATAGGTTGAGTATTCAGTTTCATATGTAACGTTCAACTTGGGACAGCAAACAGACAATCCTGAGACAAACACTGCTAATTGATTTCAGGAAAGGCAAATCATTGTATTTCAGAAAGCGAAAAAATTTATCTGGTAATAAAATGAAAAAACATTTTATTCTCCAACTATTTTGATCTCTATTTGGAAACTCCAACAACCTATAACTAGTCAATACGGACAGGACAAAACAAATTTTTTTTAATACAGCTCACATCGAACTGCAGCATCATATAGGATGTTTCAGCGAACACTCACTGAACGGCTTCCCTAAAAAGGATATTGTTATCTGTAAATATGAATTTATATCGATTCTTATAACGTAAAACGCGATGCCTGAAGAACATTTGTACTATAACATGTTGATTTTGACAACAAAGAGACAATAATTGTATTCTCAAATAAAAAAAGTTCAATTTGGTTTGTTTTCATTTAATATACTGTTAGTAGCATTATATCAGATAGAAAAAATAGTTCATGCCCAAAAGGCATGTCGTACCCATATCTACGAAGATAGACCTAATTTAGGGTTTTCACTACTGACATGAACACCACGAACATACACGATGACAGTAATCAATCATTAAAGCTTTGATTTCTTCTAATATCGTTTTTCGAACTTGGGCTATCAAATGCAGCCCAACTCGTTTCGAACATTTATTGATGAAGTTTACAAGGTATACATTTTTTGCTAATACACAATATATTGATCTTTGGAAACCCTGAAAAGTAACATACAAGCAATAATAAACACTTTTCGAACACCTCATCGAATAAACTAGTCTCATAGATCTTCTGAAATGCATAATGATAGCCCAACAGCTACTTTTCATAAGAGATTTGATAAATTAAAAAGACATTTAATGTTAACATAAGAAATTTATGTACAACTTTTTACAAGGACAAATTCTTTGTTTCCCTCATTTCCTTCGTTGATCGCACCATCAGCAGTTCATAAAAATCACAAAAAACTCATAGTGACGACCTTCCTTTTTTAGGCTACTGCCTCTGTAGTTAAAGTGCAAAAATGATAAAAGCGTTATCTGGTGTTCTTGCAACAATCACATAATGCATTTTAAGTAAAAATAATAAGTTTGACATAGCCCAAAATTATTTAATATTAATATAATAAATATAAGTACAACTGTTTATTTAATTGTGGCAAGAACACCAGATGACGCTTCTATCATTTTTGCAATTTAAGTACGTGGGCAGTAGCCTATAAAGGTAGTCTCCGTAAGTTTTTTTTTTTTTTTTTTTTATTTA